CAAGAGAGGAGACAGATGTACAAAGGGGCCCACGCAGGTGAATTCAGTGCTGGGCAGGGGCCAGCGATCCATCCAGCTTTTCATGGATGATGGCCCAGGCAGCACTGGGTTTGAGAAATAGCACGTGTTGTGTCGTCAAAGACCTTGGCATTGTCTGGCCCGCTCCTCGGTTGACAGCCAAGGTAGGTTGACCTGGTGCCATAGATCTGTCGGCACAAATCCAAAAAAATCCTAGTGCCCTCATTTTTGCTTGCACTTTACTGTTTTGGTAACTAGAGATTAATTAATGAGTATGTATCATGAAGCCTGGCGGTGCAGTGGTTACACTTATGGGCTACTAACCGCAAGGCCAGCAGTTCGAAACCAACAGCAGCTCCTCAACAGAAAGATGAGGCTTTCTACTCCTGTCAAGAGTTACAGTCTCCAAAACCCACAGGGCTGGCCCTCCCTGTCCTTGAGGGTCACAAAGTGTCCGCATCAACGTGATGTCAGTGAGTTGGTGTTTGAGTTTGGCACGCGTCTTGTGGGCAGTGGGGAGGACAGAGAGGGCGATCAGGAACAGGGTCCGCTCCGAGCTATGAGGTGTGGACCCTTTCCTCTTTCTGACTTGCGTTGTCTGGGTGCATCTCCACTAGATATAACATGAACAAACCCCTCCCAAATCACAGCCTGGATTCAAAGCCCGGCTGTCTTGTGTTTGTTACTTATCTCTTCCTTTGCTACATCCCCTGTGTAGCCTTCTTCCAGACTGACACATCTATAATGAAGATGATGATGAATATCATTGTACCTTGCAGGCAGGGTACTTTCCTGGGGCACACTTCTAGAGGCAGAATCACTGAGCCCCACAGCCCAAAGTTACAGAGTCGGGTCCACACTCAGTCCCTCTCCAGTGAGGTGGGGGCCTTGGAAAGTGGGGGGGGGGGAGCCAAAGAGTCACCCTTTGCTTTCTTGTACCCACCTCCCATGTGCCACTGACTTGGGTCTTTGCCATCACGTCTTTGGGTAGGCCCTAATTACTCAACTCCTGAAGCAAGGAGATGTAGAAATCAGCATAAGCAGCCATTAGCTGGCCTAACTGCTCCTCAGGGGCTCCTAGTGGACCCCGCTGGTCTTCTCCTTTCCTGTTAAGCCATCATGAGCTTTAGGTAAGGTGACCAGATTTTGACATTGGTAAAGCAGGACACCATTGATAAAACTCATATCCTGGCAAAATAGCCACATGGCAGCCGATATACCCTAGCTTGTCGTGCAATCTTTCCAAAAATTGGGACTTTTAAAACGCTGTGGGACATGGGAAACATTGTTAAAAATTGGGACTGTCCCGCCAAAAGTGGGACGTCTGGTCACCTTAGTTTTAGAGCTGTCTCTCCTCCCGTTAACCCCCTTTGTCCTCTTTTTTTCCTCCAAGTCACCACGACCCTACAGTGAAGCTGCCATAACCACTGTCCACAGCGCTCAGCTTGTTCCGTGCTGAGTTTTCTTAACTGCCCTCTTGGCCAGCTTGCAAATGTTAGAAGGTGTCACAGGGCTGGGTTGGTTAGAGAAACAAATCCATTGACATGTACATATGGATAAGAATGAAGTATCAAGAAGTAGTTATATATCAAGAAAGCATCCCAACCCAGTCTAACTCAAGTCCGTAAGTCCGATGCTGGTCCATAAGTCCGTCTTCAGACTCATGTAGCCACCTGCAGTGATCCAGAATGCAGGAAGATCACAGGCTGGTGGGTGCAGAGTCTGTGGATCCGAGGTCGGTGGCAACATGGGCACCTGCAGCTCTCTGGGCCAATGGCAGAGCCCCAGCAAGCAGGAAGGCGAAGGGGCAGAGAGGGAGGGAGTTGCCCAGGGCCCTCCTAATGGGAAGAGGTTCCCAGGACCCACACAAGAAGGCAGGGTCAGGCTCTGACCAGATGGACAGGTTGGATTCCACCCCTGCCCTTTCATACATCTTCAAATTGACACAAATCATCAAAGGATCACAGAAGATTTCTCCCTCTCTGCCCGGTTTATGTCTGCAAGAGTTCAGCTAAAACAGCCTTGCGGAGAAACTACCATTGCCTTATAGGAGCACATCTGTATGTCTCTTCCTTAGCTGCTTTAGCCTGTCTTTCTTTGCTCCCATCAACGTTTATGATTCAGAAATGTGTTTGCAGTGGGTCTGGCGCCAAAGCAGACAGGCGGTGCCCTCATTCTAGAAGGTGACGTCTCGCTTTCAGAAAAGGCCAGTCCTTGATTCCACGTGGTCCATCAGCAGTCACTGGCTGAGGGCCTACTGTGTGCTCCGGGTCCAGTGCTCAGCCCTGACGAGACACCAACTATGGTCTCTGTCTCTGGGGGGAGGAGGGCTGAGTCCCAGGTGGGAACCTCCTCCCCAAGGACAGGGGTGCTGTCACTCCCCAGTGGTTCTCCAGATCTCCTCAGCAAGGAGGGGACTGTGTCCAGGAGCCCTCTTTCCTATTGCCCTGAGCTATAAATCTGCCCCTCTGGAGTGGCTGTGACTTTCTGGGCACTGTGCCATCACTGTTCGGGCCCACCAGCTACAGGTCACAACTGGTGGAGGCAAACGGGGCTGTCACTTCACAGCGTCTGCCTCCCATGAAAAGGTTGGAACCCGGAGACTAATAGCTGCCTTTTGTTTCCCCCACCCACCCACCCGTTTCACTCCTGTGGTGTTCACAAATCTGGCCTTTGGCTCCCTTGTTAAGTAAAACCCTTCCCTTGTTGATAGGAGCCAAGGCCCAGCTGGGAGCAGCTTGCCACCTTTAGAAGGTTTCCTTCCTACCTGGTCCCTCCAGAGTCTCTGGCTGTGTTTGTTTGCTTGCTTAATTTTAGGGAAAGGAGGAGTTGGGAAACAACTCCTCCCAGAGGATGCTTCGCGTGCGGCATGATCTCGCTTAGTGGAAACATATGCTGTGATTTGTCTGCGGTGTTGAAGTGGTAAGATTACAAATGTCCAATGGCTGGGGGCCTGTCTGTCCCGGCATCCATAGGCCTAATTTCTGCTTGTAATCTGATTACGGGTCTGAGCTGCTGCAGCCCACAGCCTGGGGCTCTGAGCTTACTATGTTCCCAAGGACACCAGCGCCTGGTGGCTCAGCCCTGCCTGCGTGGTGGAAAACCTCAGTCCCAGTTTGCTTGGGTTGCTGGGGCCGTGGATGGCTGAGAGTCAGCTGTGGAGCAGGCTCCGCTACTGAACCTTTCCCTCTGCAGCCATGTTCAGGAGGCCAGGGCTTTCCGGCTACTGGGGAGGGCTCACGTTCGCTGAGAAGCCAGGTAAGGCCAGAGAGATGGCAGATGCTCTGGGGCTTGGCTTTAGGAGCCGAGTGAATGACTTTACCCTGTGTGTTCCTGTGTCCAGATAATACATGCTGTTTTACTCAAAGAATACTTTGAACCTGATTTGCAAATTAGCTTATCTTGTCATCATTGAAATCGAGAGGGGTTTGGTTTTGTGTTTTGAGGGTTTGTTTGTTTTTTTGTCCCGTCCCACCGTTGTATGTTCAAGATACAACTAAACCATTCCAGCCTTTGCGTAGGGCAAATGATTCGCAATGCCCAAACTTTGAGCAAGCTCTGGATATGCTGGGATCCTGCGAAAATGTTTCCCCCGAGCCGCCGCTGCATTTACTCAGTTATTTCCAGGAGGCAAGTGGATGAGTGTGTGGGGTTTCTTAAAATTAAACCTTCAAAGGAGACAGTTTGGAACAAAATACTGTCTTCCCAGTGGCTTCCTTGGGAGCCGGGAGGAGACTGTGTTATGAGCTTCCCACTTCCCTGCTGAAGCGGTACCTCGGATTCCGTAGCCTGGTGGAGCGACAGCAGTGAGATGCTGGAGGGATTTGGGGATGTCCGATTTGAAAGCCAGGCACTGCTGCTGGAAAGTGTCGCCCAGCACAGGTGCATGGTCTGAAAGGAGCTTGGACAACTCAGGTCTTAAATTCAGGAATTGTCTTTGGCAGCCGTGGGTGGCATTTTTGGACTGTGAGTTTCTTTCTTTTAATACCTAGCAAGGTCATTGTCTAATTAGGAAACAAACTTAAATGCTTCACGGACATGATGCATTTCATTTTATCGCATGTCTCTAGTGTCCAGGGTTCCCCAATGCCAATGTCAGGGTGTCAACTGATGGACAAGGATCGTCAGCATCTGGTGTGCCGGGCCCCTCTGTTCGCCCCTCGAATGTTCAATAGTGAGAGGGGCTTTCTTGGGTCAAGAAGTGTCTGTCTGTGGTCTCCTTGTGATTTTCTTGGTGGACCAGTGGTTCCGTGCCAAGAGCTGTAAAATGGATTAGTTGCCATTCGCCTGGTTATGAATTTTGCCTGGGCCTGCTTTTGATTAACCCCTTCACTCAGGACAGACATTTTTCCCTGTATGGAATTGCTCCCAGCTGTCCTTACACAACCTCTCATCTTCAAGAATAAATAAGGGACTGGTTTGTTATGCTGTTATCATTTAGATGATCATGAAAACAATAAAGGCACAGCAAAAGCACCCCTTTTCTCCACCCGACCCCCACCTTTAGTCTTTAAAAACCCCTCAGCGGGCTCAGACGGCAATTGTTTTTATCATCTCTGTTTACCTTGAGTCCTTGCCAGGTCATCCCACTGTCGGGTGGCTTTGAGGATTTTCTTATTACGGTAGCAAATTTAGATGATAACTTCAAACTCGGTCCGGTTTGTATGTCTTGTTTTGTTTTGTTGTAATCCCATGGCGTAGGTTGGCTACTTCTCAGGAGGGGGAAAAAACCACACCCAAAACAAAAACAAAAAAACCCCACCAAAACTTGACCGTGCAAAATCTATCTGCAAGAGTTGATTCTTAGAAAGTATCATTATTGCATTCCTCATTTACTTGTCTGAGTCCCGGTTTCTGTTTTCTGAATTCTCTGGCAAAAGGAACTTTGAACAATTGTCCCCACCCCCACCCCATTGGAATCTTTATTTTTTTTCTTTTTACTCAGTAACAGTTTGAACAAGATATGATTTCTCTTTCTTTAGATTTCAACAAGACAAACGTAAGCTTCATTGGATTCTCACCGTCAAGACACGTTCCAAGGTAAAGTGGCCTCTGTGTGGGGGGTCTTCAATGTTGAAATTTGAACTAACTTTTCATAGTCGTCTCTTGGATTCCTAAGTGGCGAGCTTTGATGTGTGACTTGTGTGTTATCGCCCCAGAGTTTGATTTATTAAACTACATTGACGCAAAGCAAGCTCTGGGACCCTTAGCCAAGCACGTTTCTTTTTGTTTCTGGGACTCTGGAGAAAGCAATGTCGGTGTCTGGTGTCATTACTTTCTCACACCTGCTTTGAAGCACCTGCTGGCCTTTTGGAAACTCTCCATCAAGAAACGGAGCTTTTAATGTTTTTGTTGTTAGAAAAGGTTTTGCTTCCTTCCTTTCCTACCTTTTTCTTTCCTTCCTCTTGCCCTCCATCCTTGAGTTCATGTTTCCATCTTTCCCTCCCTCCACCCATCTATCCAAGGAAATCCGTCTAGTAAACGTTGGACTACGAACCTTAAAATCAGTGCCTCAGACCCGCCAGCTGAGAAGAAAGATCAAACTGTCTGCTCCTGTAAATAGTTACAGCCTCGGAAACTATATAAAGAGATGCTGCAAGTCTGACTTGACCTGAAGGCAGGGGGTCCGTCCGTCCATCCATCCATCCATCCATCCATCCATCCATCCATCCATATGTTTCTGATTGGGTTACCTTGGTTCTTCACTTTACAGTGCCGAGCGAATTCGCGCAGCAGAAACTCTTTTGTAATTTGAGTCAGTTTTTTGGAGGAAAGGGAACGTTGCAGGTATTACAGTCTCAAAAGGGTATATGCTATTTCTGGAAAGCGTGCCAGGCCACGAGGAAATTGCTCTGGGGTTTGCAACTGGGCATGCAAAACCAGGTGGAAAGAATACAGGAACAGGGACCGTGAAACTCCCACGTGCCAAACTGGGGAATCCCCGGAGACCAAGAGTGGGTGTGGGGGCCCCTGGGGGCCCACAGGCGCTTACATGCCTTGCATGTGGGAGGGACTCCCAACCTCCGCCTACAGCATGCACCTGAGCAAGAGCAAAGTAAAAGAAACTGGCTGGGGACCAAGAAGCTTGTCAGGGCTGTGCACCTGGCTCTTATTCTCTCCTGCCCCTGGCTGGGGGAGGCGTGGTTGAGCACATTGGCCAATCCTATTGGCTGTGTTTAATCACACCTGTGTGAGGTCATGGGCCTAGGTCTAGTCTGTGTCCCCAGGTGGACCTCCCACCTTGTAGCTGAGCGTGCTTGTATCTGAGCATGCTCAGTTTGGATCTTCTCATAGGTGTCTAATTGGTGTGCCTGATTTCTTTCCAACCCCATTATTATGGCATAGATAGCTCATTTTTCTTTAGCTCAGGCATTCGGGAAGACAACCCCCTTTGTGCCTAATCTAGCTACCTAGTACCTAATACCTACCCCGTCACCCACGGGGTTTGAACTGATCCACGGGAGAGCGAGGAGGCTTTCTTCTCTGTAAAGCTCTACAGACTCAGATGCCTACAGCTATGATTCAAAATCAACTTGATGGCGGTGAGTTTTTAGGTTTGGGGGTCTTAATATCTCTTTCTTAAGCCCTTTCTTTTTGCCCTTCAATTCCTTTAGCTGCAGGACGTTCTGTCACTTTGATGTAGCTGATATGCATGCTACTCAGATTTCGTGGTTCATTGTTATTGATGTCCAACCACCTAAAAGCCAGTGCCAAGCCAGAGAGCTGTATGTCTCTTGGGGACTTCTCTTTCGACCACCGTCCCTGAGAGAGGCTGGTATTTTCATGTGGAACCACTAAGTCATCCACCACTACACATGCAGGCCTGGATTTCAACCTGAACTTCATTGACTCAGAAGGCCCTAAGCCCTAATCTCCCTCATTCCACACTGATGCTCTTGTTCCTAATGCATTGCTAGATTGCTTCTTTACGAAGTAAGTGTTTGCCTCAGAGCATTGGCATAGACAGTAGTCTAAACACTGAAGCTAAGCCTGGCAGTGCATTTGCGGATGGCCCAGTGGATCCTGTGAGCGGTAGGGTAACAGCCCGATGTACTTTATCTGCTATGAGTTTAGGTTAATTAGAGCCATCATGGCCCAGGGTCATCAGTGTGCTTGTCTTACCTGACTCACGAAACCTTATTTTTCTAGAGCTTGACCCAATCAAACCCAAACCACAGCTATCAAGTTGATTCTGACTCAGAGCCATAGTATAGAGTGTCTCCAAGGAGGTAGATCTTTGCAAGAGCAGACAGCTTTGTAGTTAGCAGCCACACAGTGCCCCTGGACTCTCAGTGCTCAGCACCGCTTCCAATTTCTCCTGTTCACCATGTTTGTCATCGACCCCAAAGTTCATGTCCTAATATGGCCCCAGCTGGTTGATTTCACTATACTAGCACTGGTGACTAAGAACAGGGGTCCTCAAACTACGGCCCGCGGGCCACATGGCGGCCCACCGAGGACATTTATCCGGCCTGCCAGGTGTTTTTGCCCCATTTGTTTTTTTACTTCAAAATAAGATATGTGCAGTGTGCATAGGAATATGTTCATACTTTTTTAAAAAAAACTAGTCTTTCCCTCCAACGGTCTGAGGGACAGTGAACTGGCCCCCTGTTTGAGGGCCCCTGTCTAAGAGGAAGAAAAGGAAACCAAGAGGTATTGTTTATCGAAGGATAGGACAAGCATGCAATTGGGCCATAAGACAGACCTGAGACAGGACGGAAGGACACAGCCACTCCAAAGTCAGGGGTATTTTATATAAAACCACTTGCTCTGGAGCCAGTTCCAACCCAGAGCAACCCTATGTGTCAGTGTGGAACCTCGCTTCCCAGGGGGGTCAGCGGCTGGTTGACTGGAAGAACGTGGTCAGGCCCTTCTTCCAGGGTCCCTCTGAGTAGACTCAAACTTCGAACCTGTCGGTTAGCAGCCGTAGTCAAGGGGCTGGAGGCACAAGAACTTACATCCTTAGGCTAAACCCAGTCAACTGTTCAACTGGATAGCAACTAAAAAATACCCAAAACCCACTGCCTTTGATTCTATGCCAACTCACAGCGACCCAATAGGACAGGGTAGAACTGCCCCGGTGGGTTTCTGAGACGTAATTCTTTACAGGACTAGAAATCTCAGGAGTCTCATCTCTCTCCCCTGGAGTGGCAGGGAGTTTTGAACTGCCCGTGTTGTCGTTAGCAGCCCAACTAAGAGAGGTGCAAAGGAGTGGTCGTGAGCCTTCCTCTGCTACGCCTTATAGTTTAAACTTCAGGAGAAGGATGGCCAGGGTAGGGGAGTCCCAGACAGAGTGGGTGTAGCCCTTGCAAATGGTTAAGGAGCTGTGAAGTGGTAACAGTGCAATACCCCTGCTTGCACGTGAATGGGTCTCCTTGTTCCTCCAGCTGGACATTTAAGTAGGTTAAGGGGACGCTTAGAAAAAAGTCAGGGAAACGTACCTAGATTTTCAGAGCTAAAGGAGGGGAGCCATAGATATGAAAATAATTAATCATAAAATGACTCTTCTTTTCCCCACAGATGGCAAGAGTTGATTAAGTGAGATCAAGAGTTCTTAAGAGGAGGGAGTTTTAAAGTCGTAGCTGAGAAAATTAAGTCTGTAATTTTTACATCTATCGTGTGTGGAGAACTGGGTTTGGAACTTCGGGTTTAGCTGTCACCGAGCACCAAGAAAGGACATCGAAAGCAAGAATGCAGAAGTTATCCCCAAGAGACAGGTCTACCTCCCCAGCCCTTGTCACCAAGGGCATGCTGTCTAGAGAAGCTGGGCGGGCCCCGTCTCCAGAACTTGGGCCTTTGGAATGACCAGGAGCATACGTTACCAATGGGCTCTGCTAACGCCGTGCTAGGCTGCTGGCTCAGAAACCCAAAAGGACAGGGACAGAAGGGCTCTTCTGGAGAGTTGCTACACGTTTCATTAGCCACAAAGCAATCAGAAGGAGTTGCTCTATCATGAACGGGCCAGAATTCCTTACTCGCTGGTACGTTTTCCCTGCATCTTCACTGCTGCACGGTTCCCCTTACGGGTACAAAGTCCATACAAGAAACGTGATTCTTTTTTAAAAAACCCATTGTTCATGTTGGCTGGGGGAATCTTGCTTTCTCCCCCCACGGCTTGGTGGCACTTGGGAATCACTGTCACACTTTCCAAGCCAACCTCCTTGTCCTTCCTTCCTTTCGACACTTGCTGCTTCCTGCTAACCTTTCATAGCTCATTGTTGGGAGACATCATCAGTCATTGAGTGTGATGAGGAGAGAGACACAGAGAAATGATAGCCATGGGGCTTGCAATTGTGAAGATTTACCTTGAAGATGTAGAGGTTTTCCTACTGTGCAAACACATGCAAATAGACTAGGATTTCCATGCATGCGTGCAATGGGAACAAAAGCAATGTGGAGGTAAATACACGATCCCAATCCTATATTATTCTAAGGATGGGGGAAAAGTAACCGATGTTATTGAATGTTCGCCTTTGTAACCAAACCAAGCCTATTGCTGCCGAGTCTATTCTGACTCCTGGTGACCCCCGGAGGCGGAGTAGAACTACCCCAGGGAGTTTCCAAGGTGGTCCGACTTTACCGACGCAGACTGCCACTTCTTTCTCCCTCTGAGCAGTCTAGTTGCTCAGACTGCCAACATTCGGGCCAGTAGCTAAGCACTTAGCCAGTCCATATTCGTTATGTCTTTATGATTATTCTCAATTTTTGTAATGATACTGGCCCCTAACTACCATTCAGATAATGGGAGACAGACAAGGCTTTCTATTTGATGGCAGTGAGTTAGGTTTTTTATTTACCAAACAGGTAATGGAGCCCTGGTGACACTATGGGTTAAGCCTTGGGCTGCTAAACTAAAACTGATGGCAGTTCAAACCCAACAGCTGCTCCTCAGGAGAAAGATGAGGCTGTCTGCTCCTGTAAAGACTCACAATCTCAGAAGCCCTATGTAGTCAGGTCACTGTACGTTGGAATGGACTCGTGGGCAATGGAGTATCATACAGGTAGGAGCCCTGGGGGCCTGCCTGTTCAGTGCTCAGGTGTGAATCAAAAGGTTGATGGTTGAACTCAGTCAGTGACTCTACAGAAGTCCTCATGGTGTAGTGGCGATACGTTGACCTACTAACCAGAAGGACAGCAGTTCAAAAACACCAGCCACTTCTCTGGAGAAAGACAAAGACGTCTACTCCCATAAAGGCTACGAAGCCCACAGGGGCAGTTCCATTGTGCCCTGTAGGGTCACTATGATTCGGAATTGCTGGCAGCGAGTTGGCTTTTGAGGGACTCCATGGGGGGAAAGACCTGTTCATTTGCTTCCAAAAAGACTCCAAACTCGGACACCAAACTCTGTACCATCAAGTCGATGCTGACCCATAGTGACCCCATAAGACAGGGGAGAACTGCCCCTGGGGTTTCCAAGACTAACTCTGGACAGGAGTGGAAAGCTTCATCTTTCCCCTGCTGACCTTGTGCATCACAGCCTGACATGTAGCCCCACCCCACCAGGGCTCCCCACAAACTAGAGCCTAGAACACCCTGCGAGGAGGCTGTTCTGCCCTGTCCTCGCCAGCCACCGTGAACTGGGATTAACTCGGGCACAGAGCCACACACACATAACATACATAGCGGATAACATGCTTGAAGGTGAATTTTTGTATACATCGAAGCATTTGTGGTTGTCATGTATTTATTCATTCATTCGTTCATTCATTCATTCATTCATTCAATAGATATTTAGACAACCAGCCACCATGTGGAGCCGGGGTGGAGTAGTGAGTTATGCGTTGGGCTGAGAATCACAGGTTAGTTTCAAACCACCAGCATCTCCATGGGAGAAAGATGAGGCTTTCTGCCCCTGTACAGAGTCAGTCTCAGAAGCCCATGGGGATGGCTCTACCCTGCCCCATAGGGTCTCCCGGAGCCAGAATGGAGCTGATCGTTGTGAGCTTGGTGTTAAAAGCACAGCGTGAGGGGGACATGAGGAACCAAACAGACATGGCCTCCACCTGCACCATCGTCTAGACAGAGAAGCAAACTTTTAAATCATCATCCAGAAAACCTCGATGATGGTATGTGATACAGGCGCTGCACAGGGGATCTCCTGAGGGAATATTGCAGAGGTGCACACATGCTCCTGAGGACATGGTATCCATGGAGGTGCAGGGTTACCCTAGGCCAGCGGTGCTCAACCTGTGGGTTGCAACCCCTTTGGGGGTCGAATGACCCTGTCACAGGGGTTGCCCATGCTACACTGGTTCACGAAAGCAATGTGCCGCCCTCTCTGTCATGCACTGAATTCAGCAGCCTCCCAGTGGTAGCTTGAAGACAGCCGCGCTGAAAGCATTTGCCCTATTGGGCAAGAGCACAGAGCAGAACACTGTTTTAGGAGGAAGGATACAAGAAGAAGCCCTTTGTCTAGCGCTTACCTCATAGCATTCTGGTCAAGTTCATTAGGATCATTCACTTCTACTGAGTCCATTCTGACTCGTAGTGAGCCTATAGACCGGAGCAGAACTGTTCCAGTGGGTTTCTCAGACCAAACCCCTACTTGAGTAGAAAGCCCCATCCTTCCTCAAAGGGGCAGTGGGTATCAAACTGTGGACCTTGAGATGAGCAGCCTAGCGAGTAACTCACAAGGCTCCTGGTTCACGAAGATCGTACCTGGGATATGTTGACTGTGGGAACAGGTAGAAAGCGTTCAATGCATGTTTGTTTGTCATTTCATTTCCTCTTTTTAATTTTTTTGCCCCAACTTGCTGTTTGTGAACCTTCCCAGCCTGCTCACTGTGCTGCAATGTATTGGCCGATTACAGGCATTTCTTGCTTCCGTAAAGTGCTAACACCGGAGGGAAGCGTGGAGATCACTAGCCATGTTGCTGGTTTTCCTGGTGAAGACATCGTGTCACAGAGCAGTCGCTTGACTAAGCGGGGCCCGTGGGCCTGGCACACATGGTCCGTCTGGACCGACCCACACGGACTTCCTAGTTCCATGTTTTCACAAGGCCATGTCTCCGGCTCATCATGATTTCATTATTTAATTGCACAAATAACATCATAGCCGAAGCCAAACGTTTCACTTGCCAATAAGCTCCCCCGAAGATTATGCGTGGGATGCTTGAATATGCGAGGGGGCTTCGAAATGTTCGTGGAAAATGGAATTAGAAGGTAGTGAAAACTTCCCACCAACTTTTTAAAGCCCTTTCGTATTTAACTCTGTTTAATTACAAGCCTGCTGATCTGCTTCCAACAAGATTACAGCCAGGAAGCCGGTGTGGGGCAGTTTTACTGTGACATGGGACTTCTGTGAGTTTGAGTAGATTTCATACCCAACAACAATATCAGCGATAGCACTGGAGTCCCTCAGAAACAAACACACTCCAATCTCACGGCCAGCATGTCAGTGCCCAGCCATGGAGAGGGTAGAACTGCCCTATGGTTTCTGAGACGGTAACTCCCTCTGGGAGTAGAAAGCCCCCATCTTTCTCCCGAGGAGCAGCTGGTGGTTTTGAACTGCTGACCTTGCAGTTAGCAGCCCAACTCGTAACCACTACACCACCAGGGCTCCTTACCCGAGTTCCTGGACAGTGCCAGTGGCTCGGGTGCTTAGCTGCTCACCAGGAGTCTGGAGGTTCGAGTCTACTTGGGGGCCTCGGAAGGAAGGCCTGGCATCGTGCCTGGGAAAAACCAGCCTTGAAAATGCTGCAGGGCTGGGGGGGGGGGGGGGGGGGGGGGCGCTGCCCGTGAGTTGGAGCTGACCCGGCAGCAGCTGATTTTTGCTTTTGTTTGGTTTGAGTTTTGTTTTTAACCACAGCACAGATGGATTTTTTTATGTGATTCTGTTTTGCTGATTATTCTATACCTTGATCTAAACTGACTTCAAATTTTTTTATTAACTTAATCAATTTTAGCTTTCAGAAAGAGTTTTCACTCGAAAATAAAGACCACCTTACTAACGGCAAAAGAGGACTCGATGCTCAGATTTTAGCTGCACTTCCTAAAGGTAAGACTTTGGAAAATCAGCAACTAGTGTCCCAACCCCCTAAGCATCTGTTCTCTGATCGGCGGTGAAGAGAACTCTGGCACCAGGGCCTCCCTCCCCTTCAGGTCCTCCCGAGCCTCACCCAAGAGTTAGCCTCAACTAAATGACCGCCCTCCTTGCATTCTCGATTCTCATCTGTCCACTGCTTCTTTCCACACATCCATTCCACTTGTCACGCCTAGGGGGAGGCTGAGAGGGAACCTAGTATTGACTTCACCTCATCCTTGCTTCCTACCTTTAAGCTTCTGCAAGTAGCAGGTAGTACTCATCTCCTCACCGCCACCCATGACTGCCCACCCTGCGGTCTGCAAACCAGGCTACTTGATGTGTTCCCCTTTTATGATGCTGACCCTTACTATCTTGTCGTGCCTGACCAGGCTACAAACACCAGTGTGCACTATATGTTAACCATGTGTGCTTACTAAAACACACACACACACACACACACACACACACACACACACACACACACACACACCCCTAGTTGTTCCCAAGCCTGTTCAGACTCATGGCGACCCCGTATCTGTCAGAGTAGGCCTGGGATCCGTAGGGTTTTCGGAGGCTGAGTTCCAGGGCTTGCCAGGACTTTCTTCTCAGGCACCTGTTGCTGAGTCACTAAGCCCCTTCGCCACTCGCATCACCCTGGGGGTTCTCCTTCCCAGCGTTGTTGTGTTATTATTTATGAGTTGCTTTTGAGTTCATTCCCAAGGCCAGTGACTGCAAAGGTTCCCAAGCCAGTTTCCCTTGGTTAAGGTGCATGTGCAGTAAAACGTTGCGTTGTCTCTAGCCCACTGCCGCTGGTATTGACCACCTGGTGTGTGTTGTCACCACGTGTAAGATGACCGCAAGACGTGATGATCTCGTACCAGTTCCAAACATACGTCTTCACCCCGGAGGGCCTTTATAGCCATTAACTTTAGATGAAACCGGTGTGGTAGGGCATCAGATTTTTTTGATGTCAAGTCCAATAGAAATTAGACCAGACACCACGCTCTTCTAATAGAAGCACAATCCCATTTAAAAGGCCCGCTGACAGCCTGGTGTACATCCTGAGTGGTGGGATGGGTGATCTACCTGGACGTAGTCTCAGGAGAAGAGGGTGCAAGCCCCCATCCCCCGGGGGAGGGGGGGGGGTGACTCCTGACAGAGAAACTTAACCAAGGGCATCGATCAATCTTCAAGTGCCTCGGAAAGTGTCAACTGAAAAGTGTCAACTTGAAATCTGTACAGCCTGAAGCCAAAGATAAGAATGATGTCTCTAATTACTAAGCGGTAGTGGAGACTTCAAAGTGAAAGAAAACGGTCCTCCTTCGGGGAACCCAGAGCTGAAAGGCGACCCCAGGGAAGACTACAGGAAGTGTCCTGAACGGCCAGAAGCGCAAGGGCATCCGTCTCGGGAAGTACAGCCAAGGATGGTGAACGTGGTCACGGGTACTCTGGAGATGCTATGAGGAGAGATGCACCCCTGGAAAAGGACAGAAGATTTGGTACAACAGGGGGTCAGTGAAAAAGAGGAAGACCTCGAGGAGACGGAGGCACGTCACATCACAGCCGCAAGTGTGGACTCAGACACCGCGATTGGGAGGATGGCACAAGCCCAGGGCACGTTGCCTTCCGAAGCACAGAGGGTCATCAGCCAGATGGCACCGAACAGCAGGAGATGGAATGGACCTCGCTTTGTCTACTGCCCTCCTTAACTATTAAGGACCCGTCGTGTGGCCCCGTGCTCGTGGACTCACTGGTGTAGCGGGGTTCCTCCCTGGAGGAGTGTGAGGACCAGGCGTGTAGTGGAAGACTGTGTGACGGCAAGGAGCTCTGGACGAGCTCACTTGAGGTGTGAGTGCGGTAGCACAGTGTGAGGAAGAAATCCGATGATTCCCAGCCATGGGGAAGAACGGCACCTGAGTTCTGAAAGGCCTGTCGTAAAACAAGCAACTGTCCAAGTGAGCTATCAGGTAAGTCCACACGGAAGAAGCAAACTGGTCTGTATGATCCAAGCATTGTGAATCATAAAATCCAGGACCAGAGAAGGGAACTATATTCAAGCTTAAATTCCGAGCACCCAGTTGGCAGAGGCCTGTGGACAACAGTGAAACCTCAAAACCCATTTGTTGGGGTTCCCACATGGATGGAACCTTCAGTGAATCCACTCTAGCCATTGACCAGGATGTGAACAGCCTTGCTGTCAGAAAGAGTGGAATGTATTGGCAATTAGACTAATGTAATATCACTAGTTTAAAATTTAACACATTGTCATTTGTTCTCTTTTTTGAACCATTTTAAAGTTTTCCTACTTTTTAATATTTTCTGCTTTCTTCTGGATTGAGGTTATTTTTTCTGTTTTATTTTGTATTTTTTCTGTGTTTTTTTCTTTATATGAAATCCAGGATAGGTAAATCTAGAGACAGTGACTGGACTGATGGTTTCTTAGATTTATGTCAGGGAAAGTTATGGGGGGGGGGCTGCGAGGGAGTGGGAACGAATAACAGTGAGTATAAGAAGGAAGAAAATGCTCTAAAATTGATTGTGTTGATGATCGCACAACTCTTTTTACTATGTTTAAACCATTGGGTTATAAAGTAGTGATTATGGCAATAAAACTGTTAAAATTTTAAAAACAGAAGGTGAATTTAATTGGAGCCAACGTGTTTAGAAACTATGAATATTAACAAAACACTGCATAACTTTAACAATAGCTTAGGAAAGCTGACCAAAAAGGCAAAGAGCCATCGAGCCAGAGGGGTTGCCCCCGGGTTGAAGAGTCCTTTGTTGCCCTTCTCCACCCTAGTTTCTCTTTTGACAAATAATACCATAAACAACTGTGTTAGTCTAGATAAACTAGGGAAACAAATCCACAGAAACATATGTATAAGAGAGAGTGTTAAATAAAGGGTAAGTGTACATTAAGAAAGCTTCACAACCGGTGCTGTCCAAGCCCATAAGTCCAACATTAGCCCATATGTCTGACACCGATTTACAAAGTCCTCCTCCACCTCAGAAAACACACACAATGACGCCGACTGCAGGAGGAAAGCTGAATCAGTGAGCGTGTAAGCCTCTCAGCACTGGCAGGGGTCTCCACCGGGCTGCTCCAGCACCAGCACCCAGGGCTGCATCAGGGCAGGTCCCTGTGGCTTCTCCTCAGGGATGTGTCACAGGAAGTGAGCTTTGCCAGCTGAAGCAAGGAACTGGCTAAGGCAGCTGCACCCTGGTCCGACCATCAGAGAGCAAGAGCCCCGAGAACTAGAAAGGCAAGGTTCACTGAGCATTTAATCCCTCCGCCCTTCGATTAATCCCACATGAATCGGCCAGGTTGGCACAATAAACCATAACTATATCAACAGCGTAGGATCAGAACCCTTAAAAAGCAATATGAGATGCTGGCTTCCTTAGTCACCAGGTATCTGTCTGTCAGGGTATCATACAGTGGTGGCTCGTGTCTTACTCAGGATGCTGTAAGCTGTGCTACAGGTGACCCTGCTGATGTTTGAAATACTGGTGACGTCACTTCCAGCATTACAGCAACATGAATGGCACCGCAATGTGACAAACTGACAGACGAATGGCAGTCTTCTAGCTTAGTCATTACTTACTTAGTAAGCTAGGAGACCACAAGAGCAGATTGTGAAGTCTTGTTTCAAGTGGCAGCTGTGTTGATGCTGTTTCAGGGCACTATGCTTTGTGTTGTGATCGAGAGAGCCCACGGTGAGCTAGGGACACTGGTGCCTAGAGTAAGGTGACCAGACGTCCCACTTTTGGCGGAACAGTCCCGATTTTTAACAATTTTTCCCACGTCCCGCGTCATTTTTTAAAAAGTCCTGATTTTTTGGAAAGAATGCACAACAAGCTAGGGGATACGGTTTTCGGCTGCCGTGTGGCTATTTTGCCAGGATGTGAGTTTTATCGATGGTGTCCCACTTTACCAATGTTAAAATCTGGTCACCTTAGCCTAGAGGGTAGATTTCCTGCTTCAAATGTTGGCCTTGACTCGAACCATTGAGCCTCAGTCTAGGAGAGGGCTACCTCCCCGGCACAGTTAGTTTTTGTACCAGTGTTTTCTCATCCAGGCTATACAAACGGACACAGGTAACTGTCCGACAAACTCAGGAGTCAGGCCAGATTCCGTGACATCTCTGGCTTCCACATGATATAATAATTGATCTTCTTCAGTGTCTTGAGTATTTAATGGAATCTTTTTTCAGTCATGTTTTAGATGCATTACTTTTAAAGAGCAATTTAAAAAAGAATTCAATAAAAATCCACCCACAGTAATTTCAGTACCGAAAAAAAATGTGTCTTAACTTTACTGAATGGAGGTTAACCTCTGTGAGTTAATATCTTTATACTTACTTCCAAACCAAACTCATTGCCATCCAGTCTGTCAGCTCTGGCTCTTCAGAGCCCCGGCAGCGTAGTGGACAATGAATTGAGCTGTTAATCAGGAGTTCAAACCCACAAGTTGCTCCACAGGAGAAAGATAAGGCTGCCTATTCCCATGAAGATGTAAAGTCTTGGAAACCCCAAGAGATAGTTCTATTCCCTCCTCTAGGGTCTCTATGAGGTAGATGTCTGTGCCCCTGAATTATACAAGTAGAAGTTGCGGAACCAGGGAATGTTTTGTTATGTATATTTTTGTCACAGTTAGCAAAAAATAAACCATGAATAACAATGAGTACAAGGAGGAAGGAAATGTTCTAGAATGGAATATGGTAACAATTGTACAACTCTTCTTGAAGCGAATGAATTATCGAATTGGATGACGTGGATAAAGTATTAATAAAACTATTTTTTAAAACTCAACCCAAAAAAGAAGAACTGTGTGCTTAGTTGCAGTCATTTTAGGAGAGAAAAGGAACACTGCCGTCGTGTCACGCAGACGTCACTAAGGCATTCTGGGCTTTGTTGCCGAGTATTGTCAAGTCAGTTCCCATTCTTAGTTTCCTGCCTTCTGGACTGTGATCTGTGATGGCACCAGGTTGCTGGGCCTTTTTTTCCTCGGAACAACCCAAACTCAAACAGCCAAACGCACTGCTGTTGACGTCAGCTCATAGAGACCCTGTAGGACAGGGTAGAACTGCCCCTTTCCCTCAGGGCAGCTGATGATGTTGAACCACTGACCTTGCAGTTGGCAGCCCAAGGCATAGACCATTAGGCCACTAGGGGTCTTTGGAACCCCTGGGTGTGTTCAAATAGCCAGCCTTTCTTTCGGTCAGCAGCACTAGGGCCCCAAACAATAACTCACTTCCCAGTCATGGGTTTGAAGCACAAGATTCAGACGACCCATTTTGAAAAATTTGAGTTTGATTGCAGTAGCTCTTGAGCATTTTTTGTTTAAGTTATGTCTATTTTCCTCTTTGGGGTTTAAATAAGAAAATACAATGGAATGTAAATGTCCAGAAAAGAATGATGGTAGCATATGTACAAATATGCTTGATACCATTGATGTATGGATTGTTATAAAAGCTGTAAGAGCCCCAATAAAATGATCTTTAATAAAAAAGAAATTCACTGTTTGATTTACATCATCCCTCAAAATAATTTCAAAATATGTCCTACCAGCCAATTAATGTTCTATCACCCTAATTTCATTAGAGTTAATTAGTTAACTGGAAACACTATTATTAGCCAGGCTTCCTCTCAAGGCAGCATAGCACACTGTACCATTATTGTTATAGCCTGACTTAGAAGGAGGAGCAGCATAATTAGCATCGTAGAGGAAGCCCACCTGGGCCCCAGCTCCTCTGGATCCTAGGGAGGCCTATGTCCACAGAAACACTTTTTTTTTTTTTTCCAATTCTCTAAAAACACAAATCACAAAGGACTACCATCAAGTGTATTCCTACTCTGAAACCCCCTGTAGGACAGGGCAGAACTGCCCCTGTGGGTTCCTGAGACTGTCACTCTTTATGGGGGTAGAAAGCCTCCTTTGGAGCTGCTGATGGTTTTCAACTGCTCTCCATCGAGTAACCCACAACCTCAGCAGTTAGCTCACCTTCACAAAGGTTGGTGAAACCTGCTATTCAGAAGGTTGGAGGTTCAAGTCCAGGCAGAGATGCCTAGAAGAAAGGCCTGGTGGTCTCAGCTTCCTCCGAATCAACCACTGGAAACCTCGTGAGCCCACCTGGGGTTGCCACGAGTCAGAATTAACCCAACAGCAACGGGTTGGAACAGACAGTTCAACGAAACATTTGAGATGATTATCGAAAATAGAGCCGTGGAGGCAGAGTGATTACTTGCTCAGCAGACGGTGGGGGATTCAAACCCACCAGCCGCCCTGTGGAAGAAAGATTGGGCAGTCTTCTGTAACAATGGCTGTTGCTGTCGTCAGGTGCCTTCGAGTTGAGTCTGGCTCATGGTGACCCCCATGTCCAACAGCACAAAGCACAGGCCAGTCCTGTTATGTTCGAGCCCATTGCTGTAGCCTCCGTGTCAGTCCGTCCTGTCAAGAGTCTGCCTCTCTTTCACTCCCCCTCTACTTTCTAAAGCATGGTGCCCTTTTCCGGACACCTGGTGTCCGGATACGTGAGACTCGGAGTCTTGCCACCTTTGCTTCTAAAGAGCTTTGAAAATGGCGG